GATGCTGATGCGCTGATGCTGATGCTGATGCGCTGATGCTGATGCTGATGCGCTGATGCGCTGATGCTGATGCTGATGCTGATGCGCTGATGCGCTGATGCTGATGCTGATGCGCTGATGCTGATGCTGATGCTGATGCTGATGCGCTGATGCTGATGCTGATTCGCTGATGCGCTGATGCTGATGCTGATGCTGATGCTGATGCTGATGCTGATGCTGATGCGCTGATGCTGATGCTGATGCGCTGATGCTGATGCTGATGCGCCGATGCTGATGCTGATGCGCTGATGCTGATGCGCTGATGCTGATGCTGATGCGCTGATGCTGATGCTGATTCGCTGATGCGCTGATGCTGATGCTGATGCTGATGCGCTGATGCTGATGCTGATGCCCTGATGCTGATGCTGATGCTGATGCGCTGATGCTGATGCTGATGCGCTGATGCTGATGCTGATGCTGATGCTGATGCTGATGCTGATGCGCTGAGGCTGATGCTGATGCTGATGCGCTGAGGCTGATGCTGATGCTGATGCGCTGATGCTGATGCTGATGCGCTGATGCTGATGCTGATGCTGATGCGCTGATGCTGATGCTGATGCGCTGATGCTGATGCTGATGCGCTGATGCTGATGCGCTGATGCTGATGCGCTGATGCTGACGCGCTGATGCGCTGATGCTGATGCTGATGCGCTGATGCTGATGCTGATGCTGATGCTGATGCTGATGCGCTGATGCTGATGCTGATGCGCTGATGCGCTGATGCTGATGCTGATGCTGATGCGCTGATGCGCTGATGCTGATGCTGATGCGCTGATGCTGATGCTGATGCTGATGCTGATGCTGATGCTGATGCGCTGATGCTGATGCTGATTCGCTGATGTACTGATGCTGATGCTGATGCTGATGCTGATGCGCTGATGCTGATGCTGATGCGCTGATGCTGATGCTGATGCGCTGATGCTGATGCTGATGCGCTGATGCTGATGCTGATGCGCTGATGCTGATGCTGATTCGCTGATGCGCTGATGCTGATGCTGATGCTGATGCGCTGATGCTGATGCTGATGCCCTGATGCTGATGCTGATGCGCTGATGCTGATGCTGATGCGCTGATGCTGATGCTGATGCTGATGCTGATGCGCTGAGGCTGATGCTGATGCTGATGCGCTGATGCTGATGCTGATGCGCTGATGCTGATGCTGATGCGCTGATGCTGATGCTGATTCGCTGATGCGCTGATGCTGATGCTGATGCTGATGCGCTGATGCTGATGCTGATGCCCTGATGCTGATGCTGATGCTGATGCTGATGCTGATGCGCTGATGCGCTGATGCTGATGCTGATGCGCTGATGCTGATGCTGATGCTGATGCTGATGCGCTGATGCTGATGCTGATGCGCTGATGCTGATGCTGATTCGCTGATGCGCTGATGCTGATGCTGATGCGCTGATGCTGTGATGCTGATGCGCTGATGCTGATGCTGATTCGCTGATGCGCTGATGCTGATGCTGATGCTGATGCGCTGATGCTGATGCTGATGCCCTGATGCTGATGCTGATGCTGATGCGCTGATGCTGATGCTGATGCGCTGATGCTGATGCTGATGCTGATGCTGATGCTGATGCGCTGAGGCTGATGCTGATGCTGATGCGCTGATGCTGATGCTGATGCGCTGATGCTGATGCTGATGCCCTGATGCCGATGCTGATGCTGATGCTGATGCGCTGATGCTGATGCTGATGCGCTGATGCTGATGCTGATGCTGATGCTGATGCTGATGCTGATGCGCTGATGCTGATGCTGATGCGCTGATGCTGATGCTGATTCGCTGATGCGCTGATGCTGATGCTGATGCTGATGCGCTGATGCTGATGCTGATGCCCTGATGCCGATGCTGATGCTGATGCTGATGCTGATGCGCTGATGCTGATGCTGATGCGCTGATGCTGATGCTGATGCTGATGCTGATGCTGATGCTGATGCTGATGCGCTGATGCTGATGCTGATGCGCTGATGCTGATGCTGATTCGCTGATGCGCTGATGCTGATGCTGATGCTGATGCGCTGATGCTGATGCTGATGCTGATGCTGATGCTGATGCGCTGATGCTGATGCTGATGCGCTGATGCTGATGCTGATTCGCTGATGCGCTGATGCTGATGCTGATGCGCTGATGCTGTGATGCTGATGCGCTGATGCTGATGCTGATTCGCTGATGCGCTGATGCTGATGCTGATGCTGATGCTGATGCGCTGATGCTGATGCTGATGCCCTGATGCTGATGCTGATGCTGATGCGCTGATGCTGATGCTGATGCTGATGCGCTGATGCTGATGCTGATGCTGATGCTGATGCTGATGCGCTGAGGCTGATGCTGATGCTGATGCGCTGATGCTGATGCTGATGCGCTGATGCTGATGCTGATGCCCTGATGCCGATGCTGATGCTGATGCTGATGCTGATGCGCTGATGCTGATGCTGATGCTGATGCTGATGCTGATGCTGATGCTGATGCTGATGCTGATGCGCTGATGCTGATGCTGATGCGCTGATGCTGATGCTGATTCGCTGATGCGCTGATGCTGATGCTGATGCTGATGCGCTGATGCTGATGCTGATGCCCTGATGCTGATGCTGATGCTGATGCTGATGCGCTGATGCTGATGCTGATGCGCTGATGCTGATGCTGATGCTGATGCTGATGCGCTGAGGCTGATGCTGATGCTGATGCGCTGATGCTGATGCTGATGCGCTGATGCTGATGCTGATGCGCTGATGCTGATGCTGATTCGCTGATGCGCTGATGCTGATGCTGATGCTGATGCGCTGATGCTGATGCTGATTCGCTGATGCGCTGATGCTGATGCTGATGCTGATGCGCTGATGCTGATGCCCTGATGCTGATGCTGATGCTGATGCTGATGCGCTGATGCTGATGCTGATGCTGATGCGCTGATGCTGATGCTGATGCGCTGATGCTGATGCTGATTCGCTGATGCGCTGATGCTGATGCCCTGATGCTGATGCTGATGCTGATGCTGATGCTGATGCGCTGATGCTGATGCTGATGCTGATGCGCTGAGGCTGATGCTGATGCTGATGCGCTGATGCTGATGCTGATGCGCTGATGCTGATGCTGATGCGCTGATGCTGATGCTGATGCGCTGATGCTGATGCTGATGCGCTGATGCTGATGCGCTGACGCTGATGCGCTGATGCTGATGCGCTGATGCGCTGATGCTGATGCTGATGCGCTGATGCTGATGCTGATGCTGATGCTGATGCGCTGATGCTGATGCTGATGCTGATGCGCTGATGCTGATGCTGATGCTGATGCGCTGATGCGCTGATGCTGATGCTGATGCGCTGATGCTGATGCTGATTCGCTGATGCGCTGATGCTGATGCTGATGCTGATGCGCTGATGCTGATGCTGATGCCCTGATGCTGATGCTGATGCTGATGCGCTGATGCTGATGCTGATGCGCTGATGCTGATGCTGATGCTGATGCTGATGCGCTGAGGCTGATGCTGATGCTGATGCGCTGATGCTGATGCTGATGCGCTGATGCTGATGCTGATGCCCTGATGCCGATGCTGATGCTGATGCTGATGCGCTGATGCTGATGCTGATGCGCTGATGCTGATGCTGATGCTGATGCTGATGCTGATGCTGATGCGCTGATGCTGATGCTGATGCGCTGATGCTGATGCTGATTCGCTGATGCGCTGATGCTGATGCTGATGCTGATGCGCTGATGCTGATGCTGATGCCCTGATGCTGATGCTGATGCTGATGCTGATGCGCTGATGCTGATGCTGATGCGCTGATGCTGATGCTGATGCTGATGCTGATGCGCTGATGCTGATGCTGATGCGCTGATGCTGATGCTGATTCGCTGATGCGCTGATGCTGATGCTGATGCGCTGATGCTGTGATGCTGATGCGCTGATGCTGATGCTGATTCGCTGATGCGCTGATGCTGATGCTGATGCTGATGCGCTGATGCTGATGCTGATGCCCTGATGCTGATGCTGATGCTGATGCGCTGATGCTGATGCTGATGCGCTGATGCTGATGCTGATGCTGATGCTGATGCTGATGCGCTGAGGCTGATGCTGATGCTGATGCGCTGATGCTGATGCTGATGCGCTGATGCTGATGCTGATGCCCTGATGCCGATGCTGATGCTGATGCTGATGCGCTGATGCTGATGCTGATGCGCTGATGCTGATGCTGATGCTGATGCTGATGCTGATGCTGATGCGCTGATGCTGATGCTGATGCGCTGATGCTGATGCTGATTCGCTGATGCGCTGATGCTGATGCTGATGCTGATGCTGATGCGCTGATGCTGATGCTGATGCCCTGATGCTGATGCTGATGCTGATGCTGATGCGCTGATGCTGATGCTGATGCGCTGATGCTGATGCTGATGCTGATGCTGATGCGCTGAGGCTGATGCTGATGCTGATGCGCTGATGCTGATGCTGATGCGCTGATGCTGATGCTGATGCGCTGATGCTGATGCTGATTCGCTGATGCGCTGATGCTGATGCTGATGCGCTGATGCTGATGCTGATTCGCTGATGCGCTGATGCTGATGCTGATGCTGATGCGCTGATGCTGATGCCCTGATGCTGATGCTGATGCTGATGCTGATGCGCTGATGCTGATGCTGATGCGCTGATGCTGATGCTGATTCGCTGATGCGCTGATGCTGATGCTGATGCTGATGCGCTGATGTTGATGCTGATGCCCTGATGCTGATGCTGATGCTGATGCTGATGCGCTGATGCTGATGCTGATGCGCTGATGGTGATGCTGATGCTGATGCGCTGATGCGCTGATGCTGATGCTGATGCGCTGATGCTGATGCTGATGCTGATGCGCTGATGCTGATGCTGATGCGCTGATGCTGATGCTGATGCGCTGATGCTGATGCTGATGCACTGATGCTCATCATCCCGCCCCACCTGACGCGCGGCTCCTCATCATCCATGTGCCGCAGCACAGCCTCCCCCGCTCCGCTGCAAAACGCCGCCACGCCTTCCCCTCCCCAGCCCCCCTCGCTTGCCCCGTGTTCCCTCTCCCCCGCCTCCCCTGCGCTGCCTCCCCCACTCCCCTGCCCCGCGCCCTTCCCCCCTGCAGTGCACGGCTCCTTGCTGCCCGCGTGCACGCGCTGCCCTGGCAGAGCGCCCAGCCCTCTGCTCCAGTGCCGCAGCAGCACCTGCCATGTGTGCGGGGTTGGTGCACGAGAGAGGAGGAGGTTGGAGCAAGCTTGCTGTGCTGCCATGGGGCCGTGTGGGCCACAGCGTGCAGGGCAGGGCGTGTGCACAGCAGAGCATGCTCCTCGCCTCGCACCCCATCAGCTCTCATTCTCCCCTCGCCTGTCCACCACGTCTCCCCGCGTCTCCCGCATGGCGAGCAGGCGCGCGCTCACTGCCTCCATGCGGCTTGCCGCGCCGCCACTGCCGCTCGCCACGCCTGGGGGCGAATGGGGGAACCGGGGAGAGGCGGAATGGGGAAATGGGGAAATGGGGGAAAAGAGGAGGGGGGAGGTGAGAGCGGGAGGCGGAGGGGATGGAGCGCAACAGGGACAAAGAGACGGGCGGAAGGAAAGGAAGCGGGATGACGAAAGGAGAGGGCGGTGGGGACGAGGAGGCGAGGGAGTGGCGGAAGCATAATTAGTGGGGAACGTGGATGTGTGGCGCGCGCAGTTGGGAATGGTAGGTGAGGCAAGGGGAGGGCGAACGGGCGGGGGAAGTGGCTGGCGTTGACTTTGCTTCCATGCTTAATCTGCTCTGCCCCGAAACGCTCCATGGCTTGCCGCCGCCACCGATGCTGTCGTTGCTGCTGCAGCTGTTGCTGCTGCAGCGGTTGCTGCTTGTTGTCAGTGTTGGTAGCATGGCTGCTGGAGTTGGCAGAGGTCAGGCAATGCAATGACCTCGGATTGAATGAAGCAGCAAGCATGACAAGGAAGGGGAAAGCGGAAGCAGCAACTCAGATTCGGGCAGAAAGCAGCTCAGGGTGGGCACTAGAGCAGTGGAGAGCAAAACCGAGAAAATTGAAACAAGCACGAGAATTGGGGGACATGCACTAAAACGGAGGAGCGAAGGAGAGAGCGGGGTGCGGTGAGTGATGCATCATATCATAAGGGCAGCGATGGCATGGGCGCGGGTTTCGAGGACTGGCATTGATGGCGTTGACTGGCGTTGACTGCCAGCCAGCGCTGTGCGGCTCTCCCCCCCCTGCACTCCATTCGCCCTGAGGCCAGAGCGGGGCAAGGCAACGGGAGAAGGAGATGCACAGGAAAAGGATCGGCGTCGGAACTTGAAATGAATGGGAGCAGCAAGAACGTCAAGGTGGCAATAGAGCAGAAGCAGTGAAGAGCGAGCATTGAGAAGCTTGAAAATGGTGCGCAGCGGAAAAAGGAGTAGTTGAATAGTGGTGTGAGAGGGGAAACGGGGAAGGCGCATGGCGACAGTGGCCCACGGCACTAGAGCAGCGAGCTGAGCCAGCGAGGAGGACAGGGGACGCACGCATGGCATGAATGCACTCCCTCTCCACTACTCTATCCCACCACTCCCACTAAATTGCTACATGAGCTCCCGTGGTGCTGTCGGGACCAGCAGGGAATGGTTGTATGACCCCAGATTGGTAAGTGTAAGGCTTGAATCTGAACGAATGAGTACCCCGAAATCCATACACTCGGGCCGCTAGCACCTGCAGCATTGGTGCTAAGCAAGCAGCATTGCAAGTTGGGCGGGGACGTCATGCACTGAATGGAGCCACACGTCACCCAGTATATATATCCCTCATCTCCACGCTTACTTTCCTCTTTCTCGTTCGTTTACCCATGGCTCGTCCATCTTCCCACTCCCTGCGATTTCCGGCTCACGTCATAGCACCACGGACCACCACCACGGACCACCACCACCATGCGCCAAGGGTCATAATTTTGCTGCCATAGCACCACGGACCACCACCACCATGCGCCAAGGGTCATAATTTTGCTGCCATAGCACCACGGACCACCACCACCATGCGCCAAGGGTCATAATTTTGCTGCCATAGCACCACGGACCACCACCACCATGCGCCAAGGGTCATAATTTTGCTGCAGTGTAAGAGAGAGATGGAGATAGCGAAGAAGAAAGGGAGGGGAGGAGACTTAGCTACAGGAGAAGCGTGGACGCAGAAAGTGAGTCGTCCAGAGGAGGACAAATCCTCCCGGGCGAGAGCAGCAAGCAGCAGCATCCCTTGCAGCTCCCCACCATCAGATGAGCATGGCGTGCCATTGGTTGGCTGATGTCTAGTGCACACGGCCGCAAACAGAACGCTCCGGCGGGTTGTGAGGGAGAGGCGCCGCTGCTCTGGGGGGTTGTGAGGAGGAGGCGCCGCTGCTCTGGGGGGTTGTGAGGAGGAGGCGCCGCTGCTCTGGGGGGTTGTGAGGAGAGGCGCCGCTGCTCTTGGGGGCTGTGAGGAGGAGGCGCCGCTGCTCTGGGGGACTGTGAGGGAGAGGCGCCGCTGCTATGGGGGGTTGTGAGGAGGAGGCGCCGCTGCTCTGGTGGGTTGTGAGGAGGAGGCGCCGCTGCTCTGGGGGGTTGTGAGGAGAGGCGTCGCTGCTCTGGGGGGTTGTGAAGAGGAGGCGTCGCTGCTCTGGGGGGTGGTGAGGAGGAGGCGCCGCTGCTCTGGGGGGTTGTGAGGAGGAGGCGCCGCTGCTCTGGTGGGTTGTGAGGAGGAGGCGTCGCTGCTCTGGGGGGTTGTGAGGAGAGGCGCCGCTGCTCTGGGGGGTTGTGAGGAGGAGGCGCCGCTGCTCTGGGGGGTTGTGAGGAGAGGCGCCGCTGCTCTGGGGGGCTGTGAGGAGAGGCGTCGCTGCTCTGGGGGGTTGTGAGGAGGAGGCGTCGCTGCTCTGGGGGGTTGTGAGGAGGAGGCGCCGCTGCTCTGGTGGGTTGTGAGGAGGAGGCGTCGCTGCTCTGGGGGGTTGTGAGGAGAGGCGCCGCTGCTCTGGGGGGTTGTGAGGAGGAGGCGCCGCTGCTCTGGGGGGTTGTGAGGAGAGGCGCCGCTGCTCTGGGGGGCTGTGAGGAGAGGCGTCGCTGCTCTGGGGGGTTGTGAGGAGGAGGCGTCGCTGCTCTGGGGGGTTGTGAGGAGGAGGCGCCGCTGCTCTGGGGGGTTGTGAGGAGAGGCGCCGCTGCTCTGGGGGGTTGTGAGGAGGAGGCGCCGCTGCTCTGGGGGGTTGTGAGGAGAGGCGCCGCTGCTCTGGGGGGTTGTGAGGAGGCGCCGCTGCTCTGGGGGGTTGTGAGGAGGAGGCGCCGCTGCTCTGGGGGGCTGTGAGGAGGAGGCGCCGCTGCTCTGGGGGGTTGTGAGGAGAGGCGCCGCTGCTCTGGGGGGTTGTGAGGAGGCGCCGCTGCTCTGGGGGGTTGTGAGGAGGAGGCGCCGCTGCTCTGGGGGGCTGTGAGGAGGAGGCGCCGCTGCTCTGGGGGGTTGTGAGGGAGAGGCGCCGCTGCTCTGGGGGGTTGTGAGGAGGAGGCGCCGCTGCTCTGGGGGGTTGTGAGGATGAGGCGTCGCTGCTCTGGGGGGTTGTGAGGATGAGGCGTCGCTGCTCTGGGGGGTTGTGAGGAGGAGGCGCCGCTGCTCTGGGGGGTTGTGAGGAGGAGGCGCCGCTGCTCTGGGGGGCTGTGAGGAGAGGCGTCGCTGCTCTGGGGGGTTGTGAGGAGGAGGCGTCGCTGCTCTGGGGGGTTGTGAGGAGGAGGCGCCGCTGCTCTGGGGGGTTGTGAGGAGAGGCGTCGCTGCTCTGGTGGGTTCTGAGGAGGAGGCGCCGCTGCTCTGGGGGCTGTGAGGAGAGGCGCCGCTGTTCTGGGGGGTTGTGAGGAGGAGGCGCCGCTGCTCTGGGGGGTTGTGAGTAGGAGGCGCCGCTGCTCTGGGGGGTTGTGAGGAGGAGGCGCCGCTGCTCTGGGGGGCTGTGAGGGAGAGGCGCCGCTGCTCTGAGGGGTTGTGAGGAGGAGGAGGCGCCGCTGCTCTGGGGGGTTGTGAGGAGGAGGCGCCGCTGCTCTGGGGGGTTGTGAGGAGGAGGCGCCGCTGCTCTGGGGGGTTGTGAGGAGGAGGCGCCGCAGCTGTGGGGGGCTGTGAGGGAGAGGCGCCGCTGCTCTGGGGGGCTGTGAGGAGAGGCGCCGCTGCTCTGGGGGCTGTGAGGAGAGGCGCCGCTGTTCTGGGGGGTTGTGAGGAGGAGGCGCCGCTGCTCTGGGGGGTTGTGAGGAGGAGGCGCCGCTGCTATGGGGGGTTGTGAGGAGGAGGCGCCGCAGCTGTGGGGGGCTGTGAGGGAGAGGCGCCGCTGCTCTGGGGGGCTGTGAGGAGAGGCGCCGCTGCTCTGGGGGCTGTGAGGAGAGGCGCCGCTGTTCTGGGGGGTTGTGAGGAGGAGGCGCCGCTGCTCTGGGGGGTTGTGAGTAGGAGGCGCCGCTGCTCTGGGGGGTTGTGAGGAGGAGGCGCCGCTGCTCTGGGGGGCTGTGAGGGAGAGGCGCCGCTGCTCTGAGGGGTTGTGAGGAGGAGGAGGCGCCGCTGCTCTGGGGGGTTGTGAGGAGGAGGCGCCGCTGCTCTGGGGGGCTGTGAGGGCGAGAAGACAAGGAGAAGACATAAGAACAAGGAAAACAGGATGAGGAAAGGAGGGAAATGAATAAGGGACGAGGCGAGAAGGGAAGGCCAAAGGCAACAACACGAAAATGACAAGTCAACCAGGGAAAATGACAAGAGGGTGGGAGGAATAACACTTTCCTGAACCTCCACTCGCACTGAACAGCTCACTGAGGAAAAATCACTCTGAGTGCAGTATGAAGAGCAATCAGGCCGTGTAGCAGATAGAGCAGCCAGCAGCAGCAGACAGAAGCGAAGGAGAGAGCGGATGCAGTGAAATGGAGGAGTGAAAGAGAGAACGGGTGGAATCACATGCAAGGAGAGTGCGGGTACAGTTAAAGGGATGCATACCGTACCATAATGGCAGCGATGGCAACGGTGCCGATGACTGGAGTTGACTGGCGTTGACTGATGCTGACTGCCGTGCTGCTGCTCTGCTGCTGCTATACCATCTGCTCTGCTGCAACGCAGCTGAGGGCGCGAGCAACGCAGCTGAGAAGCGTAGAGGCTGAAATTGACTCGTCCAAGGCAGCAACAGCAAGCAGAGTCGCCGTTCCGCACACCGTCGCACGCAGCAACTCGCCATTCAGCGGTACGGCTCAAGAGCGCAACGGCGCAACGGCGAAAGAGCGGGGTTAATGAGGGGGGATGTGGGGCTGATGAGGGGGGATGTGGGGCTGATGAGGGGGGATGTGGGGCTGGTGAGGGGGGATGTGGGGCTTGACAAGGAATGGGGACGCATTGGAAACAGAAACTCAGATTCAGACACAAAGCGTCAAGGTAGGAATTAGAGCAGTAGAGAGCACGAACGAGAAAATCAAAACATGCATGAGATTGGGCAACTTGAGGTTGCGGTGGAGGGTGGAGGGTGGAGGGAGGAGGGTGAAGGGAGGAGGGTGGGGGGAGGAGGGTGGAGGGTGGAGGGTGGAGGGTTGAGGGTTGAGGGTGGAGGGTGGAGGGTGGAGGGAGGAGGGAGGAGGGAGGAGGGAGGAGGGTGGAGGGTGGAGGGAGGAGAGCGGAGGGTGGAGGGTGGAGGGTGGAGGGAGGAGGGAGGAGGGTGGAGACGGTGGAGGGTGGAGGATGAAGGGTGGGTGGAGGGTGGATGGTGGAGGGTGGGGGGAGGAGGGTGGAGGGAGGAGGGTGGAGGGAGGAAGGTGGAGAGAGGAGGGTGGAGGGTGGAGGGAGGAGGGTGGAGGGTGGGGGGAGGAGGGTGGAGGGTGGAAGGTGGGGGGTGGAGGGAGGAGGGTGGAGGGAGGAGAGTGAAGGGAGGAGGGGTGGAGGGTGGAGGGTGGAGGGGGGAGAGTGGAGGGTGGAGGTTGGAGGGTGGAGGAAGAGTGTGGAGGGAGGAGGGAGGATGGTGGAGGGTGGAGAGTGGAGGGAGAAGGGTGGAGGGTGGAGGGTGGAGGGTGGAGGGAGGAGGGAGGAGGGAGGAGGGAGGAGGGAGGAGGGTGGAGGGTGGAGGGTGGAGGGTGGAGGGAGGAGGGAGGATGGTGGAGGGTGGAGGGTGGAGGGAGGAGGGTGGAGGGTGGAGGGTAAAGGGTGGAGGGAGGAGGGAGGAGGGAGGAGGGTGGAGGGTGGAGGGCGAAGGGAGGAGGGAGGAGGGAGGAGGGAGGAGGGTGGAGGGTGGAGGGTGGAGGGTGGAGGGTGGAGGGAGGAGGGAGGAGGGAGGAGGGTGGAGGGTGGAGGGTTGAGGGTGGAGGGTGGAGGGAGGAAGGTGGAGGGTGGAGGGTGGAGGGTGGAGGGTGGAGGGTGGTAGGTGGGGGGTGGAAGGAGGAGGGTGGAGGAGGGTGGAGGTGTTGAGGGTGGAGGGTGGAGGGTGGAAGGTGGTGGGTGGAGGGAGGAGGGTGGAGGGTGGAAGGTGGAGGGTGGAGGGAGGAGGGAGGAGGGAGGAGGGAGGAGGGTGGAGGGAGGAGGGAGGAGGGAGGAGGGATGAGGGAGGAGGGTGGAGGTCGGAGGGAGGAGGGAGGAGGGAGGAGGGAGGAGGGAGGAGGGATGACGGAGGAGGGAGGAGGGTGGAGGGTGGAGGGTGGAGGGTGGAGGGTGGAGGGAGGAGGGTGGAGGGAGGAGGGTGGAGGGTGGTCTTAGAACTTAGGCTTAGAAGCGATGCATTAGTAATGAGCTTGAAGCTCTTTAAATACATCCAAGAAGGGGAGGGAATGGATGGGGAAGGGAATCGGGGGCAATCCTAGGGATTAGGGGTAATCCCAAGGCAATCTCCAATTGGTGGGTTGGAGATTGCTTGGAGATTACATTTGGGTTTGGTTGGGATGTAGGTGTACACCCAACCAAACACAATGTGCAAACTACACTACTCTAGGATATAGAAAATACAAAGTACAAAGTGTGAGATTGAAGGCTAACACTAACAGGTGGAAGGTGGGGGGTGGAGGGAGGAGGGTGGAGGGAGGAGGGAGGAGGGAGGAGGGTGGAGGGTGGAGGGTGGAGGGTGGAAGGTGGAGGGTGGAGGGTGGAGGGTGGAGGGAGGAGGGAGGAGGGAGGAGGGTGGAGGGTGGAGGGTGGTGGGTTGAGGATGGAGGGTGGAGGTAGGAGGGCGGAGGGAGGAGGGAGGAGGGAGGAGGGAGGAGGGATGAGGGAGGAGGGAGGAGGGTGGAGGGTGGAGGTGTTGAGGGTGGAGGGGTGGATGGTGGAGGGCGGAGGGTGTGGAGGAGGGTGGAGGGTGGAGGGAGGAGGGAGGAGGGTGGAGGGTGGAGGGTGGAGGGAGGAGGGAGGAGGGAGGATGGAGGAGGGTGGAGGGTGGAGGTTGGAGGGTGGAGGGGTGGAGGGTGGAGGGCGGAGGGTGTGGAGGAGGGAGGAGGGTGGAGGATGGAGGGTGGAGGGAGGAGGGAGGAGGGAGGAGGGAAGAGGGAGGAGGGAGGAGGGAGGAAGGAGGAGGGTGGAGGTTGGAGGGTGGAAGGTGGAGGGTGGAGGGTGGAGGGAGGAGGGAGGAGGGTGGAGGGTGGAGGGTGGAGGGTGGAGGGAGGAGGGAGGAGGGAGGAGGGAGGAGGTAGGAGGGAGGAGGGATGAGGAAGGTTGGGTGGAGGGTGGAGGGGTGGATGGTGGAGGGTGGAGGGAGGATGGTGGGAGTGGAGTGTGGAGGGAGGAGGGTGGAGGGAGGAGGGAGGAGGGAAGAGGGAGGAGGGAGGAGGGAGGAGGGAGGAGGGAGGAGGGAGGAGGGTGGAGGGTGGAGGGTGGAGGTGTTGAGGGTGGAGGGTGGAGGGTGGAGGGAGGAGGGAGGAGGGTGGAGGGTGGAGGGTGGAGGGTGGAAGGTGGAGGGTGGAGGGAGGAGGGTGGAGGGTGGAGGGAGGAGGGTGGAGGGTGGTGGGTGGAGGGTGGAGGGAGGAGGGAGGAGGGATGAGGGATGAGGGAGGAGGGTGGAGGGTGGAGGGTGGAGGTGTTGAGGGTGGAGGGTGGAGGGTGGAGAGTGGAGGGAGGAGGGAGGAGGAAGGTTGGGTGGAGGGTGGAGGGGTGGAGGGTGGAGGGTGGAGGGTGGAGGGAGGATGGTGGAGGGTGGAGGGTGGAGGGTGGAGGGTGGAGGAGGAGGGTGGAGGGAGGAGGGAGGAGGGAAGAGGGAGGAGGGAGGAAGGAGAAGGGTGGAGGGTGGAGGGTGGAGGGTGGAGGTGTTGAGGGTGGAGGGTGGAGGGTGGAGGGTGGAGGGAGGAGGGAGGAGGGTGGAGGGTGGAGGGTGGAGGGTGGAGCGAGGAGGGTGGAGGGTGGAGGGTGGAAGGTGGAGGGTGGATTGGAGGGTGGAGGGTGGAGGTGTTGAGGGTGGAGGGTGGAGGGTGGAGGGTGGTAGGTGGGGGGTGGAAGGAGGAGGGTGGAGGAGGGTGGAGGTGTTGAGGGTGGAGGGTGGAGGGTGGAAGGTGGAGGGTGGAGGGAGGAGGGAGGAGGGAGGAGGGTGGAGGGTGGAGGGTGGAGCGAGGAGGGTGGAGGGTGGAGGGAGGAGGGTGGAGGGTGGAGGGTGGAGGGTGGAGGTGTTGAGGGTGGAGGGTGGAGGGTGGAGGGTGGTAGGTGGGGGGTGGAAGGAGGAGGGTGGAGGAGGGTGGAGGTGTTGAGGGTGGAGGGTGGAGGGTGGAAGGTGGTGGGTGGAGGGAGGAGGGTGGAGGAGGGTGCAGGAGGGTGGAGGGTGGAGGGTGGAGGGTGGAGGGAGGAGGGAGGAGGGAGGAGGGAGGAGGGTGGAGGGTGGAGGGTGGAGCGAGGAGGGTGGAGGGTGGAGGGAGGAGGGAGGAGGGAGGAGGGATGAGGATGGAGGGTGGAGGGTGGAGGTGTTGAGGGAGGAGGGTGGAGGGTGGAGGGAGGAGGGAGGAGGAAGGATGGGTGGAGGGTGGAGGGGTGGAGGGTGGTCGGGCGCATGGTGGGGCGCATGGTCGGGCGCATGGGTGGTCGCATGGTCGGGCGCATGGTTGGGCTGGGGCGTTGGGCTGGGGCGTTGGGCATGGGCGTTGGGCTTGGGCGTTGGGCTTGGGCGTTGGGCTTGGGCGTTGGGCGTAGAGAAAGCATGTACCCAAAACAGGGGCTAGTAGAGAAAGCATGTGCCCAAAACAGGGGCTTGAGAAAACATGTGTCCGAAACAGGGGCTAGATGAAGGATGTGCCCAAACAGGGGCTAGTAAGAAAGCGTGTACCCGAAATAGGGGCTATAGAAAACATCTGCCCAACAAAGGGGCTAGTAGAGAAAGCATGTACCCAAAACAGGGGCTAGAGAAAGCATGTGCCCAAACCAGGGGCTAGAGAAATAGTGTACCCTAAACAGGGGCTAGAGAAAGAGTGTGCCCTAAACAGGGGCTAGAGAAAGAGTGTGCCCTAAACAGGGGCTAGAGAAAGGATGTGCCCAAACAGGGGCTAGTGAGAAAGCGTGTGCCCAAAACAGGGGCTAGAGAAAGCATGAGACCACCAAAACAGGGGCTAGAGAAAGAATGTGCTCAAAAGAGCAGGTTGGAAACAGAGTGACCTCATGTTGATGCTTCCGCTCAACCGTAGACTTGTAGTTGCTCTCTCCATTACTGTCCGTCACACCTGAAGGCGAAGCGCAAGACCGTTGAAAGAGAAGATCAGCAAGAGCAAGAGAAGAAAGAGCAGGAGAAACATAGGCCATGGATTGGGAAACTATTATGGTGGCGAAAGGGGCAAGTACATATGCGAAGGTGGTGAAAGAGGAACAAGCAAAAAACAGCAAGTTCAAGTGGCACAGCTGCTCAAGCAAAAGCGAAAAACTGCAAGCAAGACTTACAGTTAGATGTCATCCCTCTCGGGCCTGTAGTCCCTCCCTGGCCTCCTGAGGAGTCATCTCCACTACTGCTGTCGCTGCTGTTGCTGGAAAACGATGAGTGCATGGGAAAGGGCGACAAGGGCATGAGGAAGAAGGATCAAGCGAAGGGTTTGGGGTTCAGGGCTTAGGATCAATTTCAGCAAGCGAAGTTGGAGCATGAGGAGCAAGGGCTTGGGTCAAAAGCTTGTGCGACAAAATAACAGGGAATAGCAAGCGGAGAGCCTTACATCGCAGGTGAATTGCCTTGACCTGTAGTCCCGGCTGCCTCCCTTCTCTTGCGTTGCCTCTGCTCCTTGGCTGCTCCCAGAAGAGATGAGGGCGGCAGAAGGGACGAGGGCAGCAGAAGGGACGAGGGCAGCAGAAGGGACGAGGGCAGCAGAAGTTGAAAGACGAGTAGAGTGTGTAAGGAAGCGGAAGAGTGGACGTGACGCGATGATGGCAGCAGGAAGATGGAGAGAAAAAAAGGCAAGATTGGAA